CCAGCTTGGCCTTGAACTTGTGATTGTCCTGCCTCAGCATCCTGAGTAGCTGAGATTACATTATAGGTACCACTATGCCTAGTGTGTGTTTCTGTTCTGTGCTGTAACTCCAGGCTCAAGGGTCCCCTTAACATTCCAGAGTAGAAGAAACTGAAGATCTAAAAGACTAAAGTATGTGGGACTTAAAGAGTCAGACCCAGAAAGGCAATCTTTTCATGACCTCATGGTACTGTCCCCTGTCAAAACCTGGGCAGCCTTATGGTGCTTGGAGTATTCCTGTCTCCATAGGCCTCTTGTAGCCCCAACTTTCTAGTTCCCTGGTCTCTGCATCAGGACTTAGCACATTCGCCATAGCCATTTTCCAGGAAGCCCAGCTGGACCCCAAGGGTCCCTTTAATTAGGGATCCTAAGAGCAAGAAAAGCAGATCTGAGACCCAACAGTCTGTGTGGGCTGTGAATCTGCTGCCTTTTCCTTCTGTTAATGGAGGGCAAAGTGTTGGAAATGATCCACCCAAACAGCCAAAAGCAAAGTGAATATGGCTTTGAAACACAATGCCCTTCCCACTTCCTCTGCACAATGCTTAGAAAGATGAACACCGTCACTCCCCAGCAATGGCTGTTCCTCTGCAGTGTGGAGAGGGAAAACTGGTGCTCAAAGGCACGCCGGAACCCTGTTTGGATGATGCTGCAGCCATTGCAACTTAAGTCCCTGGTGCACCATTGAACCTGACCAGGGCAGCAGCCAGAAGAGTTTTCTTCCTGCTCCTGTGCTTTGTCTGACTGCAGGGTGAATTTCTGCTGTTTGTGGTTTCTGGGAACTCTGGGTAAAAGCCCTTCATTACAAGGAGGGAGGCAGAGAACCACCTTTGATGTCCTTGTAGAGGGTGAAACAAAGGACAGACCTTGAAGGGAACACAAAGGAAGCAAGCAGGCCAGGCCCAAGCATCTTATCTTACAAACCCAGTTATTCCAACAACTTTCCTGTCTCCACCAGGGCCTGGATACAGGACACAGTGTATTCATTTTCTTGTGTCTCCAGTAGCAGGCTTATCTGGTCAAGGTCAAGGCAGAGAGTTGAAACATTCTCTGTGTGCTAAGGCAACAGTTAGTTTTCACTGAAGTGAAAAGAAAATTAAGACAGGGCTTCTGTGGAGCCTTGTGAAAAGCCCAAAGGTTGTTAGAATTAAGACAGATCCCCTCCACACTGCGCAGAGCAGAGTAGGAGTGATGGTTTGAATGAAAATGTTCCCCATAGGCTCCAAGTATTTGGACAGTTTGTCCCCACATGTTGGCACTGTTTTGGGGAGATTTTAGAAGGCATGGCTATCCTGGAGGAAGCATGTCACTGGGGGTGGGCTTAGAGAATTTTTAAGCCTTGCTGGATCTCCAGTTGCTCTCTTGCTTCCTGTGCCTGCATGATGATGTGAGAGCTTAGTGTCTGCTGCTCCTGCTCCAGCCACCTCCAGCCACCATGCCTCCCTGTCATGACGGACTGTAATTCCCCTGGAACTGTAAGCTCAAATAAACTATTCCTTCTATAAATTGCTTTGGTCAGTGTTTCTATCACAGCAACAGAAAAGTGACTAATATAGTAGGTAAGAGAACTTGGATGTCTTAGCTTCTCTTTGCCTCAGTATCCTCATGGGAAAAGTAGAATAGCAGTTACACACACACACACACACACACACACACACACACACACACACATACACACACACACACACACACCTTACAGAATTAGAGAATTAAAGGAGTTAAAAGGGGCTTAAGCAGGGATGTGATGGTGTACACCTGCAATTCCAGCAATTGGCAGGCTGACACTGGAGGATTAAATATTCAAGGTCATCCTTGGTTATATAGCTAGTTGGAGGCCAACCTGGGCTACCTAACACTCTATCTCAAAAGAAATTGTTTTAAGTTTGGTATTTAATACAGTCACACCAGTTAAATCTATTTACTCAAGAACTGTGTTCTAGCTTGTTTCTCCATTGCTGTGACAAAACACTCTGACCACTACCAACTTGGGGAGGAATGGGTTTATTTGTCTTATATCTCCCAGGTCACAGTTCATCAGGGAGCCCAAGGTAGGAACTGGGGGCAGGAACCTGGAGGCAGGAGCTGGAGCACAGGCCATGGAGGAATGCTGCTTACTGACTTGCTCCCTGGCCCCTGCTCAGCCTGCTTATGCAACACAGGCCACCTGCCCAGGGGCAGCACCACCCACAGTGGGCTGGGCCCTCCCATATCACTGAACAATCAAGAAGATGCCCCATGGACATGGTCACAGGCCAGTCCAGTGGAAACAATTCCAGGATAGAAGCCCCCTCAACCCAGGTGTGTCAGGTTGATACTAAAGCTATCCAGCATAAACTGTTTAATTCAAAAGAAAAATAAAAAGTCAGCAGGTTGTTACATAATCGTACTTAACACAAAGTCTATACTCACCAGTGTAAAAAGGCCATCACTTTGAAATATACTGGTACTAGTGAAACTGCTGCAAAACCACCAAGTGTTAAAACGGTTTTCTGGAGAGCCTGAGCCACTTTTGTGCTTCTGGCATTTTTTGACCCTCTCTGCGTATTTGTTCTGGGCTCATCCCAACCCCAGCGAAGGGCTATCTTCAGTGACATTTGACTATTGTGTGGACTAAGCTTCTTCAGGAGACAGGTACAGGAAACACTGACCAGAACTAAGCTACTGAAAGGAGGGAGAACCCCCCCCCCCTTTTTTTGTTTGTCTTTCCTTTCAGTTGCCTCTGGGGAACTCCAGGCTTGCTTCTTTGGGGATTGGGGGCAGGTGGCCCATGAAGCCCGTGGCATCCCTTTGTGAAGCACTCCATCTTGTGTCCAGTGAAGTCCAATGTCCAGCAGTTTCTAGCCTCTCCCCCAATCTCAGTTCTGGCCAGATCTCAAGATGTGCAGATCCTTCCCCATCTGTGACTGGTAGAGGCCGAGGGAAACTCATGGGAGCAGCAGTTTTGCAATGCGAGTGCTAACAAACAGCGGGCGGTTGGGCGGGGGTGGAGCCTAGACCCGAGCTCCTGCCCAGTGCAAGATGCAGCGTGTCTGTGCCACACTCCAGCCTTCGGATCCATCAATCAGCAGACAGTGTGCGCTGTCGGAGAAAGACCGAAGAGGCAGAAAACAACTTGCGTCAAGGTTGGCAGGCTGTTCTGAAGAAAAGCGTTTCAGCCTCCCATACCATGGGACGCCCCCGCCCCCGCCCCCCGTTTGCCCACTGCTCCAAAGCTGCACCAGGAAGCCCGTTCTTCATGCGGTGCTGACCTCTAGAGGCTTCTGAATAAAAGGCATCCCGCAGGACCTGCTTCACTTCACTGGCTTCACTGTCACTGGGGCTGTTTCCCTAAAAAAGGAACAAAATGTCGGTGCCACTTTCCAGTTTCTGGAATAGCAAACGTCTGCCTTGTTCTTCGGCTGCCTAATTACAGCTTTTATTTAGAAGTACTATTGTTTTCTATTCTAAAAAGAGAGAAAGATGGGTCAGAGAGTCACAAGGGTTTTGTGCCTACTATGGTACTAAGAATAAGTGCCAGCTGGTTCAGGATGCATTTCTCTGGCTTCCAAACTACCAGATAGTTAAACCTGAGGAATGGAGGAGTATTCGGTCACTCAGGTTTTCAGGAAGCTGGGCCAGACACCTCTACACACACCCAGCCATTGGAGAGGCCCAGCCTTGACCTCTGTCAACACTAGGGTGGGGTGGGGGTTGTTTCTTTTCCTGTGTTGTAAATCCACCCATGTGTTCAGTGAGCACTGGGGACAATGTGGTACCCACCCCACCTGCCCGACTTCACTATGGAAATGAGACTGTTTATTACATCCCTCAGCAAAGCATCCTGCCCTTCCTGCTTTGTTGTAGCTTGAATCTTATAGTCTACTACAAAGTGACTTGTGGCAAGGCAGGAGGGAACCTTCCAGAGCTGGGACATTTTAGCAAATACACACCCACACCATCAGTTGGGGGTCTTCACTTCTAGGGAAACAGGGAGGAAAGCGTGCTAGTGCAGGTCACCATCAAGACTTTGTGAGACCCCGTTCCCCTTGGGCCTGCATAGCACTCCCTCCCCCACCTGCTCTGCAGCAGGGTCAGGTACACTATCAATGCTCCTCCCTGAAGGGAACTCAGAAATGAGGTCACCATGCTTATGCAGACACATGAGAAAACAAAGGTATGGGAACATGACTAGTGTCCTACAGACTACCAGGGGCCTGTCTGGGCCAGATCCTTTCCTACTGCCAGAAGGATTAACTGCAGGTGGCTATGTGAGTATTGGTCTCTGTCCCTGCACTTAAAGGGGCCAAGCCGTATTTCATAAAATGTATCTGTGTGAGCAAGTCAGAGAAACAAAGGAATTTTCCCCTAAGTCAAAATGTGCCCACACCACCCTGCCCAAGCCAACCTCAGACCAGTGAGGTTTGGAATGCCAAACCCAGGCCATCACTTGCATTGGAATCTCTGACCAAAACCAAAGGATACCCCACCCCCAAAGAAATTACATAAAACATACAAAGCCTCTAAACTGGGCCTGTTAAAGCCATTCTCAAATTTAATTTTAGAGAACCATTCATTCAGAGAAAGAATCTTGCTCTCCATCAAATAGTGAAACTTAGCTACCAACTGCACTGACTACTGGGAGCAAAAGTCATTGTGGAAATGGTGTGATGGCCTTACTGAATGGCCACAGGATAAATTACTAATTGTGCACAAAGGATTCCTAACTAGGTTAGGAAAAATAAGTTCTCACATATAAAAGCAGTACTAGTTCAAAGAAGAATGGAAAATTGCTGAACACCAGCTAGACCATCAGCAATATGTACGTTCCCAAACATATGTCAGCATTTGAATGTGTTTGATGTAAATGCTTCCTGTCTCCCTCTGCCGTCTCTGTGTCCATGGTCCTTGCTCCTCATTTGTAAATCAACAAGGTGTTCTGTAACTAAAATCTGTGGAAAGGGTAAAAAAAGAGGCCAACACCAGCAGGGCTTGGAAGGCTCTTTAATAGCAAGCTCACGGTAATTACATCCTCAGATGTGGTCCTCGCTCTCAGAGGAGGGAGGAGGGAGCAGATGGGACAGGGTGCAAAGAGAATTTACACAGTTCTGTTTGAGGCATCTAACAAAGGACAACAGTTTTTGGCAACTCATTTCACAGTTTGTCATTTACAAGCAATTTCTTTGAAGGGAACCACGAAGGAAAGAAAGCACACACAGCCTGCAGGAAACACTTCTTGTCTAAAAAACCAGAAACAGACGAGTCCCTTAAATTTGCCTCTTCCTTGCTCTGCTTCTCTGTATTTGGCTAAATCTTGCTCATACAGAAGTCAGCAATGGCTGGGTTCAGTCTTGCCCAGTGAAGGTTTTACTCCTCTAAGAAACTGGCATCTGTGCAAAGCACTGCTTTGCAACTTCATGCCACGTCAGAAGGTACCTGCTAAAAGAGAATCTTGAGAGACAAAAACAAAAGGAAAGCTGAAGGAAATGTAGTCTAAGAAGACCAGAGCCAGCTTTCTGCCTAATATCGAACAACTCGAACAGGGTTCTAAGCAAACTGAATGTTAATGCCTATGCAGCTTGGCATACCCTTTAAGCGGCTTGGAACCACTCAGTCTTGCAGTGTGGTGAATGGGGTTTCTAACATGAAACATTCATGGCCATTACCTTGGACCACAAGCAAGTTTTACACTTCTGTATGAAACCTAAAAGAATTTGGCTTCTTATGTCATACCTGTTACCATTAAACCAAGGTAACCGACTGAGTTTATGAAAGAGGGTTTTTTTAATACAAAAACCTCTTAGGCTTCTCTGAAGATGTGCAACTGGCAACAGCATCTCCCTCAAGGCCTGTTCTAGTGGAGTCCCCACTCCAGTATCACTGTGTTCTTCCTGCCGCCCAATGGAGTGGGTAGGTGTAGTTTATGGTTCCAGCTGGGACTGCAGTCCCTCGGGTCTGTCAGCACTCCTGAGGACAGGCTTCTCTGACTGGCAGCTGGGTTTATGAAGGAAAAGAATTCCACCAGGAATTCCACCACCTGCTGTGTCCTGGGAGGTGCGTGTAGTGAAAGTTACAAAACAGTTACCAATATTCTCTCAACACTAGTCTCTGAGGAAAGCAGGCCTCTAGAGAGACAGGGAAACAAGTTTTCCTGTACCTCAGGTGGTAAGTGTCCTCCTGAGTTCTTCAGTTTACAGTTCAGACCTGACTCTGCGACCTAACTCTCCCACTGTTTTTATTCATCTCCTCCCAACCCACGTAAGACCCAACCCTTCCTACATTCCTCTCACTACAGGAAACCAGATTTGTTTAAACTGTCTCCTAACTGGTGAGTTTTAACATGCAAAACAGGTTCCTAACTATAAATGAAATACCACTCAGGGATCATAGATCCCTGGACACACTCTGTGCTCCTGTGAAACTGAAACAATATTCAGACATGCATTGTGCTAGAGAACAGTTCTGTCTATGCTGAACAATGGTGGTCACTCTCAGAGAGTTTTCACTTAAGCACATTGCAAAGCTAGCTCTGGCACCAGGGCCTAAGGAAAATCTCCCACCTAGCAGAGGTTTTGTGCTCTGGCCAAGGGAAAACAAAATGTACCATGTGCTGCTGTGGGCCTGGAGTCACAAAATCCCAACTGGTGCTGGCAATGCACGGGGCGTCATTTCCCTCCCTGAGGTCTGTTCAACGCCATCACTGCGCAGACATAAAAGATGTCTCAGTGGGTCACTCAGGGCGAGGATTGAGGTTTTGTAATGTTGTCACAGGCATCATTCTGATTTCACAGCTGGTCACAGTGATCAATAAGCAATCAACCCTTCCCTCATATATTCGTTCTCGCTCTCTGTTTCTGTTCTCACTGCCCCAACCCAGGCACTGTCTCTTTCTCTTTCCTGAATGACATGGCAAGCAAAGCGCTCACCAAGAACTCTTTTCCAGCTATTCCTCGTGCCAATCTTCCCTCAGGCTAACTGCTGACCACCTCCAAAGCCTCCGGTGTTCAGGCGCAGACAACAGCTCTGCCCCACACACGCACAGCAAGGTACAGCTGAGACAAACCATATTTTGGGGCCACCACTTACCCACTTTTCAAAGCAACAGAATTTCATCAGTCACCTGGGTTTGAACCTACCCCAGGCCCCAGGGATTTGGACATCCATCAGCCAACATATTCTAAAGTAGCTCATGGCCAGTATCTTAAGAATATCACCTTTGGCAATATTCCAAATTATTTCCTTCTTGTGTCCCTAAGCGTCCTTGATTGTTGCTCTTATGTACACATACTTCCTCCTAAAGCAAAATACAACTGTGTTTAAAGCCAGAAGATCAAATACCATTGTTTCACAGACCAGTTAAATGACTTGCTGATGTCACAAAGTCTATGGCAGGGTCAAATATAGAACCAAGTGTCTTTCCTAACTCCCAGAGACCCTTCTCCCACACCAGGCTCCTGACAACACATCTGTAGGGAAAGGACACATTGTCCCACCATGGTACTGTTTTCATAACTGACCACAGGCTGTTCAGCCTTGACCCCAGATGGGATAAGAACACCCACAGTGAGAGTGTGTGCATGTGTACACACAGGAGCGCTCTGGGAGGGTTATGTACAAGAGGAGGATGTGCTGATGCCTCTGAGTTTTGCCATGGAAATTAGCCACATCTGGGGTATTTCTCTCTCCTCTGGCCCTGGGCAGAACAAAGACTAGGATTCTCACCAGCCCACTGAATGGCTAGGTATCTCAGCTCAGATTTACAGAGAACATCAACATGATACAAACTGTATTTAGTCAAAGTCTAAATACTTTTTTTGATTTAAAAAAATCCATTTCATATTAATGTTCAAACACTTGTAAATTTAATTTGACACCTGTAATGTAAAATTCCAGGTTACCTTGGAATGGAACAAACAGCTTTGGCTTCTTTATTTGCCTCACAGATCCTTCAGGTGGCCCACTGTGCTAAAAAGGAGGCTACCAACCTTGGGCCACATCTACAAGATATGGAGCTCCGTGCCCTATAGGATGTGGCACTCAGTGTTCTCGGCAGTGAGTGGATACAATGGGGCACTGCAGGATGACAAAGACAGAACTTTACACCCTGAGAGAAGATCTAAGTCTGGCTTTGCTACTTCAAGGAAATTCATCTGGCTTGAAATTAATCTTTAATGTGTTTTCCCAAGGGGGGAAAATCGTGGGCTCCAAAGCACAGATGGAAATCACTGTGCACCTTCAGCCAGTGACTGAACTCTGAGCTGTACCATTCACCCAGGAGCAGCTGGACTCCTGACGGTACTAAATAGAAAACGCCTAGGCGTTTGGGTTTCCCCTGTGCCTGCAAGACACACTAACTTCTGCCACTGCAGTGTTCTGTTTTTTTCTGTTTTTATTTAAAAGGTTGATAACCTACCGGGCACAGGTGTATATGCTAGAAACATTCCCAACCTGGATGCATGGAGGAATCAAGTACTGTAAGGGGGCATCCCAAGTTACTAGAACCTGATATGTTGGCACTAGAGAGGATGTCCTGGTAAGAATTTACTGGCTGAATTACAATAGCAGTTGCTTCTGGAGGCTGTCTGGGTACCCTATCGTTAAAACATCCTTTTAACCAAGCTATCCCATAATGAAAACTCCCATTTTTGTATGTATTACCTTAAAAATTCACTGCCATTAGGTCCTCTGAAGTATTTGTTTATAATTTTAAGTAAATTACACAATAGGAGCCTTTTCTTGACGTTCTCTAAATATTAAGAAAGTAAAGGATTTCATTACACTAAATTTTTTTATTCTGGTTTATTTTCCTATTAAATTTACCTATGGCTTCAAAGATTAAGGGGCACTTACTTAGATTCTGGTTATTTCATGAGTCAACAAGTTGTCATCTTATTATAAAGAGATAAGGTAAAGTTTCATTTCCTATGTGGGTTCATAGAGAGCTTAAAGAAATCAATCATTTGGATCTCTTACCCCATTTATACTTTCCACCATCAGAATTTAAAAGTGGCTTTGGAATCAGCATGTTTAAAAACAACTGAACAAGCACAGAGCAGTTACAGTAACCAGTAGCTGCTACGTGACAAGTTCCCATCCAGGATAGTGAAACTCGAGGTGCCTCGGCTGCCCTCGTGCTCCAAACTCAAAGTCAAGAGATGACCTGCCTTTGTCCTTGTCTTGCACTTGTGCAGTTAACAATCAGATATTAAAACTCATGCTCTAGAAGCAAAACCTTTCACTTAGGGACTCTTAAAAGGTACATTTAAAAAAGTGCAGACTGCATCTCTTCTCTGGCATGCTTTTCCTCAGCAGGATCACCTGTGAGGACTCAAAACACAGCCTTAATCCATTCAGAATTCTCGACATTTCAGTCAGCACATGTTAATTCTCCAACATAAACTCAAGAGGGAACAGGCAGCCACAAAATGGACTCTAACTTCAAAGTGGCAAAGGCTACTGAGACATCTCCATAGAAACCCTGCCAAAGCTGGGCTAAAATTCAGGTCACTTCTGAGCAAAGCTCATCACAGATATTGTGTGGTCATTAAAAAGATATTTCATTTTCATTTGGATGCCAGGAGCCAGATGTCCTGTTTGAAGAGCTAATGCAAACGCTACCCCAGGAGCACATGACCCCACCTAGGGGAGCACAGGGCTTACTCTCCTTCTGAAAGGTGACCTTAGGGGTTTACTGTTGACTGACTCCCATTTGGGGGTGGTCTGCCTCTGGCTCCTCTTCCTCCACATCTGCACTGTACTCTTCAAATGCATCGTCATCTGCATCTGGAAGCCCCAGCAACTATGGAGAAAGGAAGGACAAGAAAAGCAACAGCTGTGAGTATCACCTGACTTGCAGGCAGAAAACCAAGGCATCGCATCCAGATTCCTCTGCACTGAGCAGGGCTTAACACAAGTTTCCCTGGGATTCAACTTACCCACCATTTGGTGGCAAGGCATGGTGGCTGGAAGAGGAGTGGAAGCCAAGCTCTCACATCTTCAAGCAGGCACAGGAAGCAAGAATGCTACTCGAGATCTGGTAAGGCTTAAGAACTCTCTAAGCCCACCCTCAGTGATGTGTTTCCTCCAGCTTGGCCACACTTTCTAAGACCTCCTAAAACAGCACCATCAACTGGGGATGAAATGTCCAAATACTTGAAGCCTATGAGGGACATTCTTATTCAAACTATCACAGGGCCCAAAGGTCTGGGTTTCGTTAGGTACCTTGGAGAGTCTCTATTTTTAAGTGTCAAAGCATAGCCCCATATGCATTTGCACAAGGATGCTGGTATCTGTGCATGTGACATCTGGGGGTATTGGTGGGACCACATGATAGACAGTCCTGATGTCCTTTCAAGATGTCAACAATCAACCCACTGCTTTATTTCTTTCCCCCAAACATATGCCGCTATTATGAGCAGCACACTGATAAATACATTGAATCAACCAAAATGTTCAACAGCAAAGGGTTAAATGATGGCATGCCAGTAAGGTGGAATCCATACACACACTTAAAATGGCATTTCTGAGTTACTCATGGATATAAAAGGCACCATCAGTATAAAAAGAACATGATAAAAATTCCACTTTAATTATGGTGCAGATTTTCTTAAAATTCATATGGATGCAGAGGGAAAAAAAGACTGTAATGAAATATATTAAAATGTTAAGAATTAAAAATTATTTTCACTTTTTTTTGGTATATGTACATGTATGCCACAGCAGAGCACATGTGTGTGGAGGTCAGAGGGCAGCTTGAGGGAGTTGGGTCTCTCCTTCCAAGACCTGGGTCTCAGAAATTTAATTCAGGTTGTCAGGCTTGGCAGCAAGTGACTTAACCCACTGAACCACTTTGCCAGTCCTTTTTATTTTATTAAAAACATTTATTGTATGTGTATAGTTTTCATAAGATTGTAGGATTATGGACAACTTAAATTTTTAAAAAATTTTTTTATGTGTTATGAGTGTTGTGCTTGCATGTGTGTAAGTGTAGCTGTGTTGTGCAGTGCCCTCAGAAAAGGGTGTTGTCTCCGGAAATGGAACTACAGTTGTTAGCTGTCATGTGGGTGCTGGGATTTGAACCTAGGTCCTCTGCAAGAGCAGCAGGTGGTCTTAACCACTGAGCCATCTCACCAGCCCCATGGACAACTTTTTTAAACTTTTTATCTTTAATATGTTCCACAAATGTTCTAGAATTATGATCAGGGAAACATATGACAAATTCATGATAAATATTTTTTAAAGACATTGTTGGTCTTGGGTTCAGTCATCAGGGAGTTCTTGTTGCCTCACTAGCCTGACTCTAGACTCCCTTTGCCTCTTCCCTGCTGAATGGGCTTTGGGAGACCCTGGCTGTGAATGAGCCCTCTAGGAAGCAGGAAGAGAGGTGAACTTCCACCTGCTGCATTCTGTCCTCAGGTTTGCACTCAGCACTCAAACATTCCACACTCTCTAGACTGAATGATACCAGTAATGTCAACTCAGCATGTGCAAGGCACTATGTTAAGCAGCTTTATGTATGCTAATTCTTCTGGTTTTCATAATAATCACATGAGCCCAGAGTCACTTAGAAAGTGGCAGAGCCAGGAGTCAACCACTGGTGACTTGACTACAGACTTTGCTCACCAGGCAGGTTCCCATGGAGATGCCTACATGTCAGTGCTGTGCCTATTGGAGGTTTCAATGTTTTCTACTGTGCAACACGTTTTCAAAATGCATTCCCTAGCAGAAAATATATACTACTAATGTCTGTATTAGTACAACTCAGAATGGTAACAGGACATCATACGGATACACAACAGTCCAGCATTTCCAACAATGTCCCACATAACGGATGGGGCAAATCTAAATCAGAGGTGTTATGATAAAGGCTGGTAAAGATCTGGCTCCCTTGCTTTGACTGTGCCCATAATTTCTTATGTGAAAAAGGAAATAGGCAAAAAGCAAAACAAAAATAGCTGATACGCTGGTATATTTAAATGAATCCTGAAAGTTACAGTCATGCAGTCCAATTTCAGTGAAAATTTTCACCTGCCTGGGGATAAAACAAGTTTCTGCTCATTGTACACAGGAATGTAGGGATTTCTAGGGCCTTGCTGCTCATAAAGCATCCTTGAGTAACCCATAGTCATATAAGGACTGCTGAGCCACCTGGCTTCACATGGCTACCATGGAAATGGAAAGCTGCCAACCCTTGGGAATTAAAGTCCTCCAGGCCCTGGCTACCTGTGAGACTAACTCCTGTGGATAGTAGTGCAAACCATTAAGGGGTTATGGCACCTTAAAGGGGTATACACTAGGCACTATGGCTGGTGTCTTTATGCCAGAGACGAAGTGGGCATGGCCATGAAAGTATCCCAGAATAGCTAGGGCTTTGGTGCAGACAGCAGCCTTCTTGAAGTTTCATGGGCCCTTGCACAGGTCTTCCAAGGCTGAAATGGCTTTTCTCCACCTTCCCGCATTTCCAAGTCACCAAGAATGCTCCTACAGGCCTTGGGTAGGATCTGCCTCTACATTCCTAACCTGTTCCCAGGACGCAGAAGCCACACTCTGGACAGTAAGACTAGTCTACACATTCGGATTTGAAACTGTTTGACTTATAACTCATGATGAATGCTGGTCTGTCTGCCTTGGCATTAGGACAGAGGAAGGTGGCCAGATGGAGGTAGGGGCTAAGTGGGCAAGAATGGTGGAGGCTAGTTTAGGAGCACTGACCCTCCTACAAATGACAGGGTCTGAATTCTCATAACATGAGCAGAAAACCAAGGTTACACAAAAGTTAAATTCCTAATGCTTGATGCTGTTCATACAAATCCTGTTGGATCCTTTCACTCTGTCAAGGCTATCAGTCAATGACAGGAGAAGCAAGAACCACACTGTTCTGGGCCACAAGGGATTTTCCTGTGGGGAGTCATGCCTTGTTCTTGGGTTACTGGGGGCAACCTGAAAACACCGGTCTCAATTCACATCAGTGACTAGATTCAGTTGGACTTGTTTTCGTAGAAGCCCTTGTGCTTCTTGAGAAAAGGAACAGTACCACATAACACCATCAGAAAGAAGACTGGGCCACTCAGAGGAAGGAGTCACAGGAGCCATAGGAACAAATGCCAGCTGGGTTGTCACAGCAACATCAATCAAAGCAGTGTACAACATGGCCAGAGCAGCTGGCATAGGACTGGGCGTGGGACCCAGCCTCCATGAAGCAGAGAGGGGAGGGTGGTAATTCCCTAAGAAACAGCAGTCCCCAGCCATGCTCAGGCAACTTGGGGAGACCCTGGCAATGGGAGGCCAGCTCTTCTTTTCTGCACTGCTTCTTCACCAGCAGTCAAGCCTGTCAGTCCTCACCAAATAAAAGATGGAAACATGGAGGTAAAAATGACTGGCAGGGTCATCTAGTGAGAACTGATTCTGCTGGCCCATGATCTAGCTCAATCATGAGATGGCCAGGAACTGCCACCTGAGGGTCACTCAAGTAAGGAAAATGACTCAGTGACTGTCCAATACACATTTACCAGTGTTGCTCTCGAGGGTCTCGGAAGTCATTATTGAGAGCCAGTGCATTATTGACACCACTGGCAACAGTAACCTGAGTGAAAATGTCGTTTGCATTCATGTACCAATGAGATACAATATGCTAGGGGTGAAGGTGAAAATCAGACCTCTCTGAGTCAGCCTCTTTCATGAGGAAGAGGCCCCTACAATAGAGAGAAATGGGAGTGAGACAGCCGGCTGCATCCAGTGACCATGTCCCTATACCACCTATAAGCCAGAAATAAGACTAAGCTGGCAGGGTGCTGGATTTGGACATCCTTTGCATTCATGTTCTGATTCAGACATTCCCCGTGAATCCACAGGGCAGTGACAAGAGTTGGGCTCATTTTAAAGATCAGAACACAGAGCCTAAGAGGGCTGCAAGAAGCCACAGGATAGGGCGCAGGGCAAGGCAGCCCACTCTACCTAGGGCATTACTAAGGACGCTGAGCCAAGGCAGCCAAGATGGGCCCCTGCCTGGGCCAGTGGACTGTCTACAGGAAGTCACTGCCTGGCACACTGCTCTTCCATGAGCCTCTCCCTCTAACTCCTAGTATTTCTGATACATGTAAATAATGTAGTTTTTCAAAAAAGTTATTATTTTTATTTTGTGTATGAGTGCATTGCCTGCATGTATGTAAGTGCATCCATGTTGTGCAGTGCCTACAGAGGTCAGAAGAGGATGTTGGATCCCTTGGAACTGGAATTATGGATGGTTGTTAGCTGCCATGTGGATGCTGGGATCTGAACCTGGGTCCTCTGCAAGAGCAAGTGATCTTAACCGCTGAGCCATCTCTCTAGTCCCAACAATTTAGCTTTTGGAAGCATTTATTTTTCTGATTATGTAACCATCATTTTAAAAAAGCCTTAGAGAATATGGAAAAGAAGAAAACATAAATCAACCATAATCCTAAAGCTCTTTGGTAAACAGTGGACATCCTCCTTGGAGCCTGGCACCTAACATAGTTCATTAGGTATATGGATTAGGTCTCAATGAATGGTTATTGTTTTGCAAACACCAATGTAAATTAACTTTTGCCTGATCCCTCCAATACCTTCTTTAAAATATTTCATTTATTATTTTTACGTGTGTGAGTGTTTTGCCTGAAACTATGTAAGAGCACCAGGTGTGTGCGATGCCCGCAGGGGTCAGAAGTGGGCATCAGATCCTCTGGAACTGGAGTTACAGACAGCTGTGAGATGCCATGTGGATGTCTGGAATTGAATCCGGGCCCTCTGGAAGAATAGCAAGTGCTCTTAATTGCTAAGCCATCTCCCCAGTTCCTCCAATACCTTCTTAAAGTCCTTTATCTGGCCAAATGTTTCTGCTAAATGTGTTAAAATCACTTAGCAAATTGTTTTCTTTTTCTACCAAAAATCTAACAGTAATGTCCCCACACCAACAGTAACATCTGTTAGGTGCTTACCATGCACAAAGCAGGACGCTGAGTCCCCAGCCAAAACTGTGCTGTGGAATCTTCTCCGCAGTCCTAACTAACCTTTATTAGTTTCCTAAGCCCCTGGACAAAGAAACTGAAAAATATAAGCTTGCCTACAGCCACACAACCACTGAGTGGCAGAACTGGGATTTGAACTCAAGGAGCCTGCAGTCATAGCTTGGAGTCTATCACTGCAGCATTCTGATTCTACAGGCCTGGGTTAAGAGGTCACAAGTACAACCCTCTGCAGTGCATGCTCACAAACATCCTCTCGAAAATATTTTCCCAAAGAACCTAGAAAATGCAAGAGAGCAGAAGCTGAGCAGGGACCTGGAACATGGGGGCTTGTCTTTATCCGGGCCTTCTCTCTTTTCTGGCCATTGCTCCTACCAGTCAGCTCCCTGATGGGAAAAACTGGGCCAGCTAAGCTGTCCTTATACTCTAGAGCAGGGGCTTTGGCAACAGAACAGAACATTTTGTGGGTAATGTGATGAGGCAGAAGAAAAATGAGAGAAGTAAAATGGCTTAGAGCAAAACAAAATCTAACTTTTTTCTTTGGAAATCTAATCATAGATTTTAGTGTATGTGGAGCAGGGCTTGTGATATTGATTATGTTGGTGTGGGGAGGGCAGGGCAGACAAAGGAGGGTGCAGTCCACAAGGTCCATATGTCAACAGGCAGTGCCCCAAGTGGTATGACCTTGGCTTTGAGACCATGGCTGTCAGGTGCCCAGTTTTAGTGAGGTTGAGAGAGTCAGCTGGACTGAGGCCCCCAGGGGACAGGCTACAAGGAGACAGGTCCTTATCTCTCTGGACAGACTGTACAGAGCAGCAGCTGATGATGAGGTGCTCTTCGAAAATAACTCCAAGCCTAGATGCAGCTAGTTTGAAACACAGGTGAACATTCTTCATGTGGATGCCCCTATGCAGCTTTTGAGATCCAGAGAAATGCAGCACTGGTGTTTCTGGCTCAGAACCTTGTAACTGGCTAAGTGATTCTCTAATAGGTACTTTCAACTAGAACATCAACAACCAGACCCTGCCTGTGTCTTATTTCTAAGCCCCAAACTCCATCTACAAAACAAAGGGGTGGAGTCAGCATACTAGGCAGGGCACTGACCTCACAGTTCTGACAAACTGACAAAAATTCTAACAGCACCAAGTGCAAGCTTTTCCTCCTGCAACCCGTCCCCACCAAATCCTCACCAGCCCCAGCCTCAGTCAACAGCTGCAACTTCTTCACTGCACAGGAAGAAACTCAGGCTCATTTTCTCACATCCCACTTCTGACCCAGCACAAGGCCAGCTGGGTCTACTTCCCCAGCATCTCCAGAATCCAAGTCACTTCTGCCTGGAGGATGGCAGACATCTCTGCCCTGGTCCCACTCTTACCCCTGGCAGCCAATCTGAGCACTTTATCTGCAAAGGGAGCCCTTGAAATGTGAAGTCATCACAGTGCAGCTCTATCCTCATCAGTAGCTCTCCATGGCTTGAGTCAGAGCCAAGTCCTTCATCAGCTATGGCTCTGTGGCCTCCTGGCCTCTCTCACTATGCTCCATCCCTAATCCCCCTGTGGCTAGAGTGGCACCTTCTGTCCCAGGAACACAGGCATTCTGCTGCCCACCCTAGCTTTCCTCATGGTTCACTGTTGATTTGGTTTTACTCCAAAAAATCACCTTCTCAGTAAAGACTTCCTGGATCCCTTAATCAACCATTTCCGGATTCTTAATACTTCTTTTCCCGTCCCTGGTTCATTTCCTTCCTTATTGGCATTGTCATGGACACATTATGTGTTGTGCTTCTTTATCTTGTTTTCCCAACTAAAACTACCAGCTCTTTTTGATCTCTGGTGCTCATCACCTGATTCCTGTGCTGGGACCAGAGCAATAAATGGTCCTAACTGCACAGAAGGCTTTCAGCATGTGCTTACAACAGGACTGAAAGGAGACAGACTAGTACTTTTAAGTCCCACTTCTATTCTGAACAAGCCAAACTGGCTTAGAAATTAGCAAGCAAAGAGCCAGGCATGGTGGTGCACGCCTTCTGTCCCAGCACTCGGGAGCCAGAGAGGCAGGCAGATCTCTTTGAGGTCAAAGCCAGCCTGGTCCACATAGTGAGTTCCAGGCCAGCTGGAGCTACAGAGAGACCCTGTCTTAAAAAAAAAAAAGAAAAGAAAAGAAAAGAAAAGAAAATTAGCAAGCAAAAAATGAAAGGCCAGATCAATGGCTGAAACAGAGGAGAGTGTGACAGAAGGTACTGATATTCTATTTCTTCTAACAATGAACCAAATGACTGGGGCCAACTCTTCCACTGAGAACTAAACTATTTTAAAACATTTTATTCTAAGTATGTATGCTGGATAGCTTCAGTTGTCAACTTGACACACCTGAGGACTGGTCTGTGGGCATATCTGTGAGGTATTTTCTTGATTGTTGAGTGATGTGGGAGGACCCAACACTGTGGGTGGTACCACCTCTGGGCAGGTGGTCCTGGGCTATGTAAGAAAGCAGACAGCACAGGCCAGACCAGAAGAGCAAGCCAGTAAGCAACGTTCCTCCATGGTCTTTGCTTCAGCTCCTGCCTCTAGGTTCCTACATCTAAAGTTCTTCCTTTGGCTTCCCTTGATGATGGGCTACACTATGAAAGGCAAATAAACCCTTTCTTCCCCAAGTTACTTCTGGTCAGTGTTTTATTACAGAAAAATATGGAAAATGCCTTCTTAAATACAGTAAACATTCAGAATCTGGAGACATTAGCCTGACTTGACTTGAGGGCTTTTGCTGACTGGGGAAACAAGATACTTTATTGCATTTTCTGACTATTTTAAGCCCAGGTCCTCCAAGGGAACAAACTACAAGCAGTGTCCTCACTATAATCTGGGGACCCCTCAAAGGCTCACATTCTTAGAATAAAGATGAGTTAGAAGGAACACTATCTAAAGCCTAGCTTTTCATCACCTGAAGCAGCTGAGAACCACAAGCCAAGTATTGCAGGTGACCTCAGGCTGACAGGGCCCCCAAGTACTGCCAGAAGCCAACAAAAAGTCCTCTCTGGAGGAAGATACTGCCATCTTGGGCCTTAATTTATTCCAATCAAAAACAAAACAAAACAAGACCAAACCTGTGACTACCCTAACCTGCACATAGAGACTGACAATGCCGGCAACACACAAGCACAAGCTACCAGAAGTGAGAGCCAGCAGGCACGAAACATGACAAATAGACTTACTAACCTTGAGATAGAATGTCAGACAGGCTACTATGCAATCAAACTTCTTGTGTAGAGAACTAAAAGATTAAACTGAGAAAAGGACAGGACCAAGATCTAGTGTCATCCCTCCCCATACATACAAACATGGAAGCACAAACTTCATATAGCTTTCTGGCCATGTCCACTAGAATAAAAAGACCTACTTCCAGGCAGGTAGACTTTGAGTCTACTGGGTAAGAGCAGGATATTCCACTGGCTCATAAAGGCATTTGCTTCCACTCTGTCACAAATTCTCAACTCAAGTGATGCTAGAAATAACCATCATTCCTGCACCAAACAGCTGTGTCACATCCCGCCTGCAGCCTCCCCACACTGGCTGCTATCTTTATACCACAGGGCAGACAAGAGAAAAACAATTAGTCATCCTGGGTTTTATCCACTTTCCCTACTGTTGTTGCTATCCAAGAAGCAGCTGCAGAAGCCCCGGGCACCTACAGGTCGGAAGGACTTGAAGACCTTTTCCAAGACTTCATGGAGTGTCTTCTTGCCACAGGAGGAGATGTAATCCTGTGCCAGTTGCAAGAAGGGCAGGCAGTCCTCGCTCTCGCTCCACACGTGCTGCATGCCCCCATGAGGGCAAGGAGAAAACAAAGAAACAAAAATTACCTTTGGTGTGAACACTGCGTTTTAGAAAAAAATACCTCCATTGCAGATTAAAATCCATCCACTGATTCCTGCATGGAAAGGATCAGAAAACGTCAAATCCATAGACGCCTCCAAGTTTTACTTCCCAGTCTCACCTGCTCCATCTGCATCTGTCACAGGTAACAGAGGGTAGTGGGGCAGATAGATACCACCCCTGCTCACCTTTCCCAACAAGCTCATTACAGTGTTTTTAAGATGGGGGAGGAGAAATCAGTCTTTACCTTCAAACTCATTAACTTTGCCTTCAGCTATGACTGAAGAATTAACCATAGTTTGTAATCATGAACTTGGAACAAGATGTTCTTTATGCAGATCAAGCCTTGTGTGGGGGCATCCTATTCAAGCACCGCTAGTCAGCCTAGTACACGCATAGAGCGGATTGAGTTCAGGTTTGATTTTTGTTAAGGCAGAGGAAGGTTTTCTCTATGTGAGCATATCCATTTTATCACACCTTTCCAACTAAGGCAAGCTAGTCCCATAATGGTGAAGGATCAAGAATAAGTCAGAGAAACAGACTGGTAATGTCTAGGTGAAGCGGCCCCAGCTCTGCAGAACTGACCAGCCAGGAACACATTCTCCCAGGTTAATAAGGTATCTGTCGTGTACCAAGGGGCTGTCTGAAGGACATCAACTGATGAGACAGTGTTGAGGTCTGGGAGAAGGAAAGCTGTTTGGTGGACTGGAGCAGGCACAGAACTAGGCAGTATGAGATGAGACCTAGTTAGACAAGACATAGCACACACTAGCCTTCCTCTACTCATGCACAGCAACAGGGCATCACCCTAGAAAGTTCAGTGCTTGCCACTCCTTCTTTCTTACTGTGGGTTTCTAAGAAAGAGCTCTGTAGACTTATAACACAGCTGGGATCCAAGTGAGGATAACTAGGTGCTAATGCGCCATCTCCACACCCCAATTATCTCTGTCACAGTTTTGAAGGTGCCTTTCTGACCCTGCTGCTCTAATTCTAGCAGAATTCTCCAGAGCTTTCTCCTCAACCCAATCAAGCTCCTGGCTGGGCCTCTAGCTTTAGAGAGAAACTCAAATGCTCTTCTTTACTACAGACCCTAACACTCATGCAACCATCTGTTCCACAGTACAAAAGTCTTATTAGACTTTGTACTACTGTACAAAGTATTCTACATTCATTATCTGGCTTATTCCTAGTCAATGGAGATTCAACAAGAACAAAGTCCTTGTCTTCTCAGCATCCATTTCACTCAGATTTGTAAAGTTCCAGTTTATTTCAAATTTGAACCTGAGGCAGAGGTAGGGTGGCCATCTAGTGCCACACAAGTCTGCCCTCTGTAGACTTATTGTGAAGACACAGTAAAACGTTTATCAAGTACTTGGGCAGTGCAGGCTGGTAGCTGGTGCCTAGTTTGTATGCAGTGAGCATAGGTACCTCCTTTGCCTCCTGCATCCACAGGAGAGGGGGTGACAAGCTGGGCTTTCCATCTGTCACAAGGTGAGGGTCACAGAATGAATAAATCAGATACCCAGTGTGACTTCACTGTGAATACGCTCCATAGCAACTTGGATGGAAGTTAATTCTTAAGCAGGTGGCTCTATAAAGAAAACTTGTAGGCTTCTTAAAAAGTGTATTTGGGCTTTAAATTACATATAAACAGAAAAGAGCATCACTTAGACAATAGCAGAATGGTAATATGTCCCCCACTCTGAGTGAGCTCTAGTTAGTATTTCTAGGTGTCTAACGCAGGGAAGAGGCTGCTCATGCCACCATCTCCCAGACTCCACTTTTGGAGCCATTTATTTATGGACACATGTTGGAAAAAGAAAATTTGGACCCCATGAAAAGGCCTTCTGCCTAAATAGACATCAACTATTGTCTACCTACACTTCGGTCCCCAGTTTTGCTGGTTTTGTAGGTCTAAGAAAAATTTTAACTGTATCACTATTCACAAGGTAATTAAACAAGGGACATGGGGCTTGGGGCCACACAGACCTAAGTGGACATGGCCACTGAAAGATACCATTTACAAGCTGCTGCTCATCTTTTTCCTCCTGTATCTAAAAACAAGATTCCATTTTATTTAAACTACTTCCCTCCAAAACTAAAGCAGCTGGCAGTGTTAGAATATAAGGCAAGATAACTTGAAAAATGTCTGAAATGGGACAGGGGACAAAAAGAAAATAATGGAAGGAAAGAACATAAAACCAGGGATGAGAAGAGTACAAACAGCAAGATGTGGGGGCATAAAGCCTCCAGTTAGAATTTGGGGATGATCTCACACAAAGACCTCCCTCCAGTCCCGAGTCACAAGGCACGGCCACAAAAACTTTAGCTGGGGAACAACTTCAAGTACACAGAGTCAAACCCACTTTGGCCAGGAAAAAAAAATTATAGCAGGAATTGGAGAACCTCTGGCTGCTTCCACCCAAATAGCTCAGTTGGGAACGTATTAGACTCAGGAAGCACTGGGTGGTGCCACACCATGGGCCAGCACGACCCTGGGTGCACATGGTGTTGACCCCTGCCCCCTCAAGAGGGTACCGGGAGTACAGGTGGACTACAGACCTCTGGTGATGGCGAGAGATGCCAAGGAAAGCCTTGAGAAGTGGGGCAGAGCAGGGCCTCTACAACTTTAGCTGGGTGGCAACCTGAAGCTTGCTACAATGCAGATTGCTGGACCCACACCCAGGGTTTATGATTGGGGGTAGGCGCTGAGAGCTTGGTTTCCAATAGATTCCCAGGAGATGTTCACATTGTGGGTTTGAGAACCACAGGCTAAGGAGAGCTTTGGCTAATTGCCTATTAGGAGTGGGGAAAGAAGAGGTTGCATCACATGTCAAAAAATTTCAGGAAGAACTCAAGTAATTCCAGTACTGACTACAGCCAACTCCAACTATCATGTGACCATGAGCCACAGCTAAGTGGCCTGCTCTCTCCTATAGTAGATGTCTGGAATGAACTGATATGATTACAGGCCATCTGCGGCTCTTCTTTCTATTAAATTGGGCCAGAGTTCATTACAAAAGCTCAACCAGCTAAGATGATATAACCACACCACCTACAAGTGTGAAAGGGAGCACTCTTTTTCCGTTTTCTGTAGTAGAGATAAAAACATCTGGTTTACCAAAATGTAGTATTAGATCAACGAGGTAATTCAGTCTCAAAAAATTCTTTTTGTGCATAAGTTGTGAGCTCTTCCTGCTCTGTCCTGCTGGGCAGGCTGCTAGACTTCCCGTGTGAGCTAGTGAGAGGAGGAATTAGGAGCTCAGCCCTGACTCTAAGGCCTGTGCAGTGGGCCCCTCTCTCACTACAGTACAGTCATAGACTCTGACCCATGGATACCCAGGACAGGAATTCTTTGGAGAAAAAACATGCATCTGTACTAACATGCACAAGCTTCTCTGTTTGTCACTATTCCCTAAGCAGCACAGTAAATACCCAGTTGTGTGACAGTTCCATTGTACTAAGTATTCGAAGCCATCTAGAGATAAATTGACACATACAGGAAGATGTGCAGGCTGTACACAAACATGTCATTTCACAATGTGAGCTCTGAGCAGCCTCAGGTTTTGACTTCTGAGGCAGGTCCTGAAACCAATTCCCTGGACACCACAGGTCAGCTGAAGTATGGGGTTTCTAGTGTTCTCACTCCATTTACAATTGGTGCAGGGTAATCTAAAAATCATCTCATCCACAAAGCAGGACAGAATCTAAAAGCCACAAGCCACTTTGGGTACCCAACATATTTATACACAGGGTGGGTAGAGTGTGGTTGGTTATAATTAAGGCCAGCCTCCTCTTTGTATTTATTAGCCATTTTTTAGGGAAGAAACTGAGGCTCAAAAAGGTTAAGTAGCTTCCCTGTGGTCACATGGGGATCCAGGGACAGAGATGGAACCGGATAGAGGCATGCAGGCCTTCAACTGCTCTCTGTGTAAGTGCCTTGACTCAGCCATGTGTAAGCCACAGAAAACAATTACAATCACAGGGGGTCTGAAGACCACAGGAGACTGCCTACAGACTGCCTGTTACTTAGTGGGGACCCACTAACTGCTTTTTTCCAACTATTTGGACTCATGGCAACCTAACTTTACTCTCTTCACAGTTAGCATTCCATGAATACACAAAAGGCTGATCTTCTTCCTTGAAATGACCTGTCTAGATGGATATACGCACTGTGCATACTGCTCTTGTGCTCACAGTAATAATGGAACACAGGAATGATTAGTCTCCTCTTTGGATGAGGAAACTGAGGGTAGACTAAGTAAGGAAGTAGTTTGTCTTATCACATCATCATAGAAACACAATGCAATCTCATTTAAATAAATTGTATTTTCTTTCTCCAAAATCAAATGGTTGCTAACTGATCTTACTAAGAACTTTCCCGATGCCCTCTTCTGGCCTCTGCAGGCTTTGCATGACACAAGTGAACTTACATATATGCAGGCAAAACACTCATTTGTACACATAAAAAAATGTTTTTTAAAAGAGACACACATGCTTACACCACAAATGACGAAAATATACAAATGCACACATATCAAATATAATCACACAATTCCTCCATCTGTTTACATATTGAGGTGGGATGAAACTGTACAATAATTTGGATCCAAGCATGTTTCTGATGGGCTGTTAGAAAAGGTGAGACTATAGGGGAAACAGGGCCCTCTTTTCCTCAGTCATTCTAATCTGGATGATGATGAGGACAGGCTCTTCAATTACAGGGAGGAAAGTAGCCATGCTTCAACTCACAAAAGCACATCTGCATGTTCCCACACACATTCTCTTCTGTATATACATTCTCTCTCAACAATTTTTTTTTTTTTTGGTCTTTTTGAGACAGGGTCTCCCTGTAGCCCCAGCTGTCCTACGTAGACCAGGGTGGCCTTGAACTCACAGAGATCGGCTGCGCCTCTGCCTCTTGAGTGCTGGGATTAAAGGCGTGCGCCACCACGCCCAGCTAACAACAATTTTACCTGAAAGAGTATTTTGCCTGTATGTGTGTAAGTATATCATGTGTGTGCCTGGTGCCATGGAGGCTGAAGAGGATGTTGGATCCCCTGGAACTTGAGTTAGAGGCAGTTGTTGAACCACCAGGTGAGTACTAGGAACAAACGCTGGTCTTCTGCAGTTCTCAACAAGAGTAGCCAGTGCTCTTAACTGCTGATCCGTTTCCCCAGCCCCACATTTACTCTCTTAACACGTGTGAACACATGCTCCTCTGTCCACACTCTGCTCAGGCATGACAGCCCTCAGGACCTTCCCAGTGGGCAAAGGAGGGGACCAACCAGCCTGATATTGAGCTCTTGCCCCTTCCTGTCAACTGCAAAGCATGATCCCTCCATAGAAGATGCTGACAGCTTGGTCATCCTGGGCACAGACCAGATGTAGGGAGAGGGTCTAGCCAGGTGGAAAGTTTGGCAGCACGACCTGTGAGGTGAGAAGGGAGACCGTGCAAGGAATTTAGGAGCTGCCCAGTGCAGTGGCAGGCAAAAGCGTTCTTGTTTCTGGGCCTCTGGAATTCCAGTGGGCCAAATGGCAACGAGAGGCTTGGCCTGTGGGCTTGGTATCAGAATCCTTTTCTCCCTGAACTTCAGTTTCCTCAACAATAAAATGGGAATAACACCTAGCTTACAGAAATTTTGTCAGGCCCAATAAGAAGTCACCTTTTGGGGCTGGAGAGATGGTTCAGTGGCTAAGAGCTCCGGCTGCTCTGGCAGAGGACCCAGGTTTGATTCCCCGCACCCACATTGTGGTTAACAACTATCCATAACTCCAGTTCCAGGAGATTCCACCCTTCTTCTGACATCTGCAGGCATTGCATTACATGGATACACTGACATACATGCAGGTAATACACTCATACACATAAAATAATAAATAAAAATATAAAATTAAACCATTTAAAAAAGAGAGAGAGAGAGCCAGGCATGGTGGCACATGCCTTTAATCCCTGCACCCCAGAAGCAGAGGCAGGAGGATCTCTGTGAGTTTGAGGCCAGCCTGATCTACATAGTGAGTTCCAGGACAGCTGGGGCT